TATAAGCACAATACTTATTGTGAAACTCAGTTAAATGCTCTCCTGAACTTACTTCCTCAGCAACTTTATGGTATGAGAGGGAGAGTTTAATCCCCTTCTGAAACTGAACAATTAACTTAAAGTCAATTATGAAAACAGTGGGTCTTTATGCCAGTGATGGCTCACAGGCTTTTCAGCAGCATGTTGTTAGTCAGCAATTAAAGTGTTGCCTCCATGCCAAGGTTTAACATGATACAGGTGCTGCTAGATAATCTAAAGCCAAGTCTATGGAAAGCAGTAAAGCAGAAGGCTCTGTTGGGACAGATATCCACTCTCCTTCTCTTACTCTTCAGTGTTATGCAGATATGGTGGTTCCCAGAGACAAGAAAGTTGGCTGCTTCTTCTCTCATATGAAACACTTACATATGTTGATGGCTATGGGGAGATCGATAAAACTTCCCCCCAAATCCTTTTGTCTCTGTCCTAGTCTATGTCCTAGTGTACTAGCTGTACTCACATTGTTAGTGTATCTTCCCTCAGCATTCTGATTCTTCTCTTGAACACACATTATGAAAGTCATTGCATTTTGGAAAGCCACAAAACTGATCTGATCATTTACTATGAACTGCAATAATCACAAAACCTCCCTACCATGTATCATAATCTCTGGAATATTACCCAGTGCAGAAAATCCTGGAGATTTCCAAGTGTTTCCACTGGAGACTTGCTGACATGGTTCCACAGGTTTCTGCATCCATTCTCCTCACCTTGTTTTTGTAGAGTCACAAACGCTAGACAATACTCAGCCCCACTACTGAAGAGTAGAACAAGTACACTGGCGTTAAAAGAAGTAAACCCAGGAAACACACAACACTTTTTCCCACAGGTATACAAGGCAAGAATGCAGGGTCAGTGCAAAGAAGAACCTGTCTCATCGCATCTATTTCAGACAACCACATGTGCTCTGAAACTAGGGAACCAGCTTGTGTTTTGTGTAAGTGTGGATGTTAATCCAAGCTGTCCTGTGTCTCTGTGTGGGATCACCAAGTCTCAGTCTCATTGTAGCACATAAAGAATGAAAGGCACAGCCATCTCTCTTCTCAAAGAAGTTATTTGCTCAAGTTCACTCAAGTGGTCTTTAATCAGTCCCATGCCTTTGGTATGCCTTGACACCACTTACCAGTGAGGTCCACTCCTGGTTTCGGGAGTCCTGAAAACCCAAACAGTAATAATGCTTATTTACATAGCATGCATGTGCTTCATGTATGTATGGATATACATTCAGATAGATAGATAGATAAATAGTGCTTTAAAAGCACAGAGTCACAGGTCTATGTGAAAAAGGCTTTGAGGCAATGGAGTCAAACATTATCCAAAACAAGCCAGACATGTTTCAGCTTGAGCCAGCATGTTCCGTTGGAGGTGTGATATGTTCTCTAATGACCATGGTTAGGGATTATCACATGTCCTTCTAGAAGGATGGATTTCTCCAGCTGACAGATTGAAGAATTCAGGCCCAGAGAGCTGTCACTGCTGTACAACTGCCTGTGAACAGGACAGAACAACTGTGCCAATCATTTCTTGTGATCACAAATATTCACCATAGGGTGCTTTATTACAAGGATGTAAAAAATGTACAACAGCCTATTCTAGCTGTAAGGGCTGTGTTTTTGATGAAAAGATGTCATAGAAAAACCCAACATCAGAACAACCAAAAACCCCACAAGTTTCGAGGAGTGAAATTACACCTGAGGTGAGTTTCCACATGCTTTTCTTTGAAGTGGCTGAAAACTGAACATTTTCCCCAAGCACCTGAGGAAGGAATGTACATTGAGATATTTCAGTGAGAATGTGATCCTGTTGTCTTCCATGGGGGGAGTATCTAGTAATTCTCAGGCTGATAAAGTGAGACTATGGGAACAGATTTGGTGCCATGTGTACCACAAATCAAAAGCCAAATACAGAGAGCCCACAACTGTTACTTGGGAAGCAGCATAAACTGCAGAGCACAACTGTGATTCATCCAAAAAAAGCCCAAAACTTAGAAACTGGTCCCACTGTGCATAGTGTGTTCCCGGCACAAAGCCTATACGTGCGCTCTGCAGAATAAGGCAATAGAACCAGGATAGCTGGAGGACAGAATGGAAAATGAATTCCCCACCAAATCAATGTACATCAGGCTGTACAAACCACTCTATTCAGCTGCTGCCACCAGTTAGCATCTTCCTCTCTAAGAAATCCTTCAAAAAGAATGAGATATTTACTTGGATATCTCAGATTTTTAAGAGAAGTAATTTAAGCACAAGTCATAATAAAAAGGAATAAAATAACCTTCAGACACACTCGGGGGATTAATCTTCCTCTCTTTTTCATATCTTATTATCTGCTTTTCCCATCCTTCTCCCCTTATCTCATTCATAGGTAATATTAATATTTGCCTAGTCTTGATGTTATATTGGGTATCTTGAAAGTGAGTAAGGAGGCAAATTGCTAGCCATAAATAAATCAAAGTCTGAAAACACAGAGCAAATACAGAAATACATAAAGGTCAGTTGTGTTGCTTTGACTGTCTTGTGTCCTGACTCTTCCCACTTTACCGTATTCCTTCATGTCATTTTCTGCTTTTGAAAACATTGCTGTGGGGCTTCTGGTTTAAAAGCCAGAAGCTTCTGGTTTAGAAGCTTCTTTCTTTCATCTATGAAAAGATGTAAGATGATTTCCATCATCTATGGAAAGATGATTCTTTCCATATATACCTTCTTACTCATTTTCAAGGATGCCAGTGACCACAGGTATACCTGTGCCTTTAAAGTGTTTCAAGCTTCAGGAAGACTTGCATCACCACAGAGCTAGACCCAGCTGAATTATTTGTGACATCTGCAGAAGATGAACAGGGACTTGGAGAAAAGGCTGTCAATGAACCTTGCAATGTGGCTGAATGCCTCATGTCTGCATTTCTGCTTTAAAGGGACTGTTCCTCATTAGCACTTAATACAGCCGAATATAGTCATGCATATAAGCCATATAAAATATGTATAGTAACCCATTGTTTTCTACCTGACCTAGATGAAAATTTTGTTCTCCCTTTTTAGCAGGTATTTCTGCTAAAAATTAGAGAGCTGGGGCTCCCTGCTCTCACTGTGCTTAGAACTACACCCCCACAGAGGAAATGTACAGATAGAAGTGAGATGTGTAGGATGTTTTGACTACAGTGACCTGTGTTCGTGAATTAATTTTTCAGTGATTAATTTTTCTTATAGTTACAGAAAGCTGCAAGCTAAAGGCATGGGAGGACTTCTGTAAAATAACAATGAACATGGCCAGAGGGGAGGGAAAATTGCATCAGGCATAAACACATTCTAAGTGCTGACTCACCCCACCCCACATTTCCTCCCTTGCTGCCTTCAAAACTCTCCTTAATCTCCTCATACTTTCAATTTACAGCTCAATTTACAACTTCAGTGCCCTGCCGCCCCCATTCTTTAGCTTTCTGTTTTCTTTCTACTCCTACACTTTTTTTCCTGATGCTTGCTGAACCACTGTTCTTGATGTCATCCATTACCTCAGACAGTCCCTTGGACTTAGGAAGGATGTCTGCAAAACAACTTCTAAAGCCCATCTGCGCACACTGTCTTGTATCTGCAACTGAGGGAAAACAGTCCTGAGCCTAATTTATTCTACCTTTTACTAATTATGAATAAAAGTGCTATGGAAGCACCTGCATGAGAAATTCAAATGACACTTTTTTTAGAGAGGTTACTTGGGTTGCAAGTTTAAAAGAGCTAATAAATGTGATTCTAAAGGATGAGGCTGACCTCAGCTTCATTTACAGAACCCAGACAGCTCCTTCACAAAGTGTGTCTGGAAAAGCACCATATCATTAAAAAAAAAAAAAACACCTGAGATTGCATGTCCCAGTTTTGCATTGTCATAAATTGCAAAAAAAATAAGCCTACTCTAAGCTCTAAAACATACAACTTAGGTTATTTTATAATAACAACTATCTTCTAATTCACAGGACATATACCACAGAACTGACTGGAGAAAAAGAAGTGTTTATAGTATTGTTTTCTCATATTTGTATGCATCAGGACACGTTCTTATACCTGCAGCTAACACTGTGTTGGGTACTGGTGTTCCAACAGGAAGTTATGCTTAGAGCTGTCCTGGAATGACCCAGATGGGAATAAAATACATTTAATTGAGTATTTTAAAAATAAATATATTTGTTTTCAAACACAGGAATCACCATAGGCTTTACTGGTATAAGTCATTCATTCAAGTGGAAGTCTATGTAAGACAATGTGTCTACCTCAGAAATGCATACATGCAACATAAACAGTGTTAACTCATCTGAATTATTTCACAATATGGCTACAAGCCATAACATGAACACCACAATGCAACACATTTGGAAAATCAGTTGGGAAAAAGCTAAGAATGACTAAGCTAAATTTCCCAACCAACATACTACCTGTTTGAAGAAAGAAACAGAAGTGAGGACATGGTCCAGAAATTTTCACAGTGAGGAATCTGGAGACAGGATGCGTATCCCCCTGTCACATCAAGAAGCTCAGCAACATCCTCCTGCCCCAGAATGTGGCAGCTAAGAATCTATTCATGACACAGCAGTAGCCAATTTTTATTCCTGGAGCTGAATCTTAATTACCTTTCAGATTAACAGTTTTAAATACACATTGAACTTTTCTGTTGTACAATCAGCTTGTGAAGGGGTTGGTTGATTCATATGATATTACATGAAAGCCATTGTGTAATCTCACTAAAAGAATTGCTGTAGATCTCTCAAGCATGTAGCACATTTAAGATGCTATTTCCTTGCGGTTACATAAAACAGTATCAGTACTCTTGTGGTTCAAAGAAACATCTGGAAAAGATACCATCCACCCTTAATTTCCATGAAGGCCTATTACAGAGGATATTGACAAGTATTGCCATAGAATTATTATTTTTGTATGGAAAACTGGAAAAAAAAATGAAAAAAAAACCATACAAAACAAAAATTCTTAAGTAAATGTATTTATTAATGTTGCATTTCTCAATGCAGAGATACTTTTATTTCAAGTATACACTTACAATCCTGCTTCATTGTTCTTGATTCCAAAACAAAAGACAAGAACACCCTCGTCAACTTCTTTTTGATTAGAAGACTCAAACTGTGGTTTCAGATATTTATGCACAAATCTCATTGATAGCAGAATCAATATATTTGCACATGAACAGAGAATTTGCCTAAAAAAAGAAAAAAAAACACTAAAAAAAATAACTCTTGCTATCTTAATATCCTTTTAACACAGAAAAGCTAATTGCATACATGAAAAACATATATTCAGGATACTAAGATAAAGTCCTCAAAATCCATGTCACTGATTGCTACAACATTAACATGCAAATTAGTCTTTTAATATGGACAACCAGTTGTGACACAAATACAAACAACTCTTCTCTGATTCCATAGTTTTAACTAAGTATAATTCAGTGAATACTATTTGCAGAATAGACCTCTAACTGTCCTGTTAAACCTGTGCTTTGCTTTAAGAAGTTAATTGCTGATTTTGCTATCAATGGTAATGAAACAATTTTCTATCCTTTCATATTTTACGTGAATATCAAATACAAAAAAAGCAATCTCATTTATTAATGTGCAAAACTGGTGCAGCTCAGAGCAGAATATGCTTAATCTGAAAACAATTATTGAAAAATATGGTTTTATGCTGAAAACAACTGCAATATCTTTACTTTGTAGCAAGACAAGCACCAAGGGACACGTAGGCAATATGAAATGCTTTTATAGTTGTTAGTAGCATCTTCTTTCGTCCTTCATACTAATAACAAAAGCTAATTCTAAAGCAGTAATGAAGAGCCAAACAGATTCTCTATTTCCAGTTTACTGATAGGATTTTCCTATGTAAACTTTGCCCTCTGAAAGTAAAATTCCTTTTTTACAACTCAAGGTTTCAGTCTCCAAACATACAGCTGGCGTTCCATCTAAATGCAACAAATGACCCAAAACAAGACCATCTTCTAGTTCTAGAGGTCACCTCGCTTGGGAACAACCAACCTGAACCAGGTCCTAAAGGAATGATGCGCTCACCATCCTGAAATACCGAGGCTGAGTTGGGCGCCAGTTATCAACAAGGGGGAGATCAGGTTCGTTCTCAGCATTCTTGGATAAGCTACGGAGCTTCGCCATCTGCAGGAGAGCAATATCGAAGTGTCATGACGGAAATCCCTTGGGAACAAATCCACAGCTCAACAGTTAAACCGAGGCACACCCAGCCCCAGAAGCTGGGAAGAAAACCTCCTTCAAAGTTGTGAGGTTGTCCTTCACCCCATCACCACTAGAACTGTACTCACCTTCTTTTCCTAGCACTAATATTCTTAGAAATAGTCAAGAGAAAAAACAATGGGTCCTATGTGAACAGGATTGTCAAAAGTTAAGTACCGTCACTTACGTATTGTCTACAGAACTGTGTACAGCTACAGAAATAGGAAGTTCTTGGAATATGTGAATAGAGCAGCCTGTCCTAATAAGCTTCTATTCTAACCCTGCCTTAAGATCTGATTGTTAAGCAGCCACTGGAACTGAAAGGTGTTAAGGCTAAATTTTAAACTAAATTCTAAACTAATTGTTCACTTCTGTGGTGGGTCTGTAGCAGAGGATAAATTCTGCTGCAGTAACACAGAAAAAAATTACTAGTGACAGGAATATAAACCTGGATGATGACTTGGTCAAGTTTTCAGATGGTTTGTAAATAGTGTCTGCAGCTTCACTTTTTTTTGCTCGTGTTTTAAATCAAGGTCTATTCCTGTTGAGGGATGCTGTAAAAATTTTGCCCATGCTCTTCAAAATTGTATAATGGTCTTCCTCTACAACTTTCAGATTTTCAAAGGAAGCAAAACACACACCCACTCAAAGATAGATTATATTCATTTGTTGCCACTGCCGTGCATGACATTAGATAGGAAGCATATCAGCTGTGATTCAGACACTTGACATTTCACGTTCTGAATGGCTTACTGTGAAGAGGATTGCATACATTTTTCTGTGCATACACTTAAAAATGTAACCTCATGCGTGGCACACATCAAATTGGCTCATAACTGGCTTCAGTACTCTGATGAACCTAGCTTCTAGAGTACTGAGTTCAAGCACAGTGGAAGCAGAACTTCTGTCTGGGCTGTAAAAAACTGTGTTCACTCATTCCAGTTTATGGATTGAGCTAGCTCACGCATCTCAATGCTGCTCTTCACCATGTGGCACAGCAAAGCCAACTATCTCAGTTTGTCTGACACATGATATATGAGGGTCACATTTACGATCAGCATAATATGCATCAGCTGGATTATTCATCTGAAACTGAGTTCCAGATTTCAGATGAAGAACAATTTGTATGAGAACTGTGAGAGATAAAAATAGTTCATCAGTTTTGGTAATGCTGAAAAAGTACTGTTAGAGAAGAGACTGATGCTTTTTGCTTTGTGGAAGACACCTACACTGAGTTAAAACAAACAAACAAACAAACAAACAAACAACAAACAAAACCATCATTACATACATCCAGGCTATAACTACATAAAGGTGAAAAAAATTAGTCTGTAATTGGATAGCGGAATTCCACAGTTAAGTTCCTGTTCTTTCATTAAAGAGCAGCTAGGCCACCCTCTCTACATCTCACAGGGATTTTTGGTGAATTGAGTTTTCCTACAGAGTAACTGATTACCAGTGCCTGCACTTATCCTTGTGGCTAATATGCTACTACCATCTGGCTGCAAAAGCATCCAAGTGATCCAAATGCATATGCACTTCAGATAAGCGCTATTAACAGGGCTGCAATGGTAATCCACCTTCTAGGATTAGAAATAATTAGTAACATGATCCTTTCCTATGAATACATTATTTAGACTGCAGATACTCTGGAGTAAGGAAAGTCTTTCTATTGCACTTGCATACAGCACTTCACATACAGTACTAATTCTGCCTCAAAAGAGTTATCTCAGGAAAGAGACGATGTCCCATCTATATGTCAAAACTTCCTTTTTATCTTAAATGCTCCATTTTTTTGCAGTAGGGTCAGTTAGGGATCTGCCTGTATGTCTCCCAAGACTCACTAACTTCAGGTAAGCTGAAAAAAAACTATAACCCAAATACAGACTATAACCCAAATACAGACTATAACCCAAAGCTGGATCAATGATGTGATTGGATATTCCTTGCAAAACACATTTTAAATCAGAGATGCTCAGTAATGACTATACCTTCCCTAAAAAAATTTGTAGTTGATATTCTCTAATATAAATCTCTAAGCAGATTTATTTTGTAGAAACCAGCCAGAGCCTATTTGTATTTTTCACACAAGTACCAGCTTCAGAGTATCCCATATATTTTAATTTTTGGATGGGCAGAGAAACAGGAGGCAGATCAAATCCATAAACTGTGAGAATTAAGCTGTAAGTTATTTGAATACATTACCATATTTCACCTCTTGCCAGCTAAGGTTCACATCATACCTGAGTTCTATTATTTGAAAGATAAAGAGCCACATAAATGCAAAGTAGTAGCAAACAGATATTTTTTTTTGTGATACATGGACATCAATGAATACAATGAAATGCCTTATCACCCTGATGACCTAAGATGAGAAGTTATGTGTCCATATATAACACCTACTTAACATGTCAGTCACTTGATTAATGTTCATTTTCTCACTGTGGAGTCTTGAAATTGGTGATATCATATCATTGCAGTCTGCTAAATAGAGGAATAATCTCAGATGAGAAAACTGACTTGTGTGGTATTAGGCACTGGCTGAAAGGTGATGAAAGAGGGCATTCAAATTTCTATAAATGGGACTGGGGAGAATGAACATTAACAAGAAATACCTCTTCATAGTAAATGACCAGAGAAGGCTTTCAGGTTAATGTGAAATTATAGTTATCTGATGCTTCTCCTGTTTGTAAAGATACAGACAAGGGTATCAAGCATCAAACACAACACTTCCATAACTTTCTTGTGTACATGAGAGAATCAACAAACCTAGCAGATTTATATTCTGATAAAATATGTTTTTAAAGAAAAGCATACCATAAGACACATTTGAAAAGTACAATGTTCAAAAAGCTGGAAATGCCAAGCTGAATTAGATGAGATCTGTGGACTCTGGCTTCATTCAGTGCAATGTATTTATGGTACCTGTTTATTATTAGACTGACCCACAGCATTTCATTGCAGATGGTCACTTTTTCACAGCAGCTTTATTTCATAATTTTTCCAGTGATTGCCCTCAAACATCATGAAAAACAATAAACGCTTTACCTAAGGAAGCTTGAGAGAACACAAATGATTGAAAAAATCCTGCATAATCAAAGTTGTTGGTGCAAACCCAACAACAACCTTCAGCCAAATGCTTTAATGTTCTGATTTAAATGGCTAAAGAACACAAGTTAATGGTTACAGCTTTCCTACAGTGGGTCTGGGATAATGCAGGGTTTTGGGTTCTGTGTATGAGCCACGTCTAGATCCCTCCTTAACTACTAGCAAGAGTTAATACCATGAGAACACAGAGACAAGAACAAAAAGAGAATTACCTCTTTTCTTTAGCTGATGCCACAAGGGATCTCTTGCCCATGAGAGCAAGAACTCTCATAAATAGTAACTACTGCTTGCTACCAGTTCTGCCCCAAGCAGCTATAAACTCTTACCAGCTACATTGTGTTCTGACTTTACTGATTTATAAAGGTCTCTCTGATGGTTGCTGAGTTGAACAACCTTTCTAACATGGGCTGGGAAACAATCAGTTGTTCCCAGTAGAGTAATAACAATCGGAGAATGTTAATGCAGAAGTCATACAGAGACAGATGAGAAGATGGGTCTAATAGGTTGATTGCATATATTAGGTTGTAGACTGCAGTCTTTTGAAGATTTTTGCAGGTTCCGTATGGATTCCCAAGATAGTTTCTAAGGCATCCAGTTCTTTACTGTCTTTTTAATCAAGCAATTTCTCACAGAAAGCAGTAAGCATTTCATTATCAAAAGATAAGATCAGTTTACTACTTGTAACTAAAAAGTGTGTAAAATATTATCTAATTGAAGTTTACCTGGTCTGAGCTGACTATGATAGGCTCTCTAAGTATAATCCAAGTGATGCACTCTTCACAAGGTGGAGTAGTGAAAGAACCATGGTATGTCCAGTAGTCATGAGACTTAGGGAAAAGAATTGAAGGATCGAAGTTTGGAAAAGGAGCTTCTTTCCCCTTAAAACAAAAAAGCAAACAACATTTTCAACAGCTCTAGTTAAGATTAAGTGAAGATTTAGCTCTGGCACAGAATTTGAAAACTATAAAGTCATGCCTCTTGATGTTTTTTGTCCTGAGAATTCCCAGCAATCTTCCTATTAAAAACAAACAAAAAGACCCACAAACCAAACAGAAAACATTGTTACCTTTGTTTTGATGGCATTTATTTCTTCAAGAATTCTCTTCATCTCTGGTTTAGGAGTTTTCCCTACCTGTAAGGAAGAAAGCATGAGCAAACCAGAGTTCTGCTGATCAGTTTTCTTCTTTCTGGTATTTTTAATATGTGCATCCAAACATATATTAACTATAAAATTATAATGCAACAACCCAACCTGTCACTCCTACCAGCTAAGTAAGATACGTATTTCATCTGTACCTTCTCAACCTTCTCTTTGTACTCTAACAGGTATTACGATCCAAATGAGGAAATCACATCAGTACAGAAACCCTGCATCACAGGTAATTACACAACACAGTTATTCCTATTGACAGTGAATTTTAGCCTGAGAAAGACAACCAACTCTCCAGACTCAAGTACAGACTTTGGAAAAAGTTTAATTCTAGTTTAAAGTCAAGACTTCATGGTCAGATCTCTTGTTTGCAATTGCTGATCTCAACACAGATGTCCATCTATCTCTGGTGAATATTAATTAAACAAGAGATAACAAAGGCTGGTATTTCAGGCTAAGACTGCATGCCCCAAAAAAGGATTTTTAAAAAGGATAAGTCCATTTTGCCTAGTAGAAAGCTCATGAAAAGCTTAGGAGATGTATCTGTCTCTGAAATCAGTCCACGACTAGCACAAAAAACAACTGATTGCTATTGGTCCAAGGGCTACTATTGACATTGTGTCCCTAAAGAAGGGAAAAATGCATATGAATTTACAGTTTCCAACAGCCACATGGTGACACTATAGCCACTGGGACAAGCGTATGGAATATTGAATGCCATTGGAAATATCATGACTCATGCTCTGTAACTTGAAAAGCATGCATTACTGAAAGTCAAGCCCTTCACTGTGGTATAATCCATAGAAAATACAGAAAAAAAAAAACTCAGAAGTTTTTGCTTTTTAACCCTGCAAGAATAGAAATGTGTACAGTAGGAGTACAGAGAAGGAATATGTGCTTCTACTTACTTGCAAAAAAATGGCCAAAACAGCTATACCATCTGTTCTTCTCACAGCATCAAGGTAATTACTGTATTTTGGATTCCAGTGTAACAAATGTAGCTGGAAACAAAGAGAAACAAATATAAAGAGATCCATTACTGAACTGCAAACTATTAGAGGCTGAATTTAGAGTTCTTCATGTATATGAGAAAGTTTGGGGCCACAAAGAGTGAGGATTAGGCCTTCAAAAAAATTAGATGTCAATTCATACATGAATTATACAAGTCATATTACAATTTAGACTACTATTTTGCTTTAAAATGAACTACAAACATCTCAATGTTAAAAGAAGTTTCATCCTAAAGCTGAACATAGACAAGATGGCAGAACACACACAATTCAGAAGTGATCTACCAATACGTGATTCATTACCATTTAGTTTTCAAAATACAGTAAATCTAGTAAAGAACTTATAAAAATGTATGTTCTGTATATTATTAATCTACACTCCTCATCTTCCAATACCATCTTAAAGGCAGAAAATTAATGTAAGGCATTCCTTCTAATTTCTGTGTCACTTCAGCCATAATACTATATTTTCAGAAAAGTGTTTTAGTAAGTTTCCATTGCTTCTCAGTAATTCAGTCTTGATGTCCTGTGTTTCAAGCCACAGTGTCTTAAAAACATGGAAACTTTTATTTCACATATACAATTTTTCTTTTCTTATGGGGTAAGAATTACTTTAGCACAATTCACATTTATAAGAATCTGGAGAAGAAGATGCCACAGATAGTTAAAGATAATTGGACTATTTGAAATGCTGACAAATGACAGTTCTTGTCCCACTGAACAGAAATGAAAATCCTACTTTATAACATATTTTAAAGTAAAAAGCAGGGAGTCTTACCTCTCCTGCATATCTCACTCCATTCACAACATGTTCAGAGCCATGGTCATCAGACGAACCCCAATGAAAGTGAAGTTGACGCAGCCTGTAGACTCCTGGAAGTGGCCCACCTCTCAACACTGCAATTGATAATCTGCATCAGCATTAGACTCAGGTATTTTATTTTTATTTTTTTTATTTTTTTGTTAAGAAATATATATACATTTAAAATACTAACAAACAGTTACTGTACAGAGCTCCTACGTTCTCAGAGAACTGCATACCTCTTGGATATCTGCAAGAGCACTTCAGGCAACTGTTTTCAGCTACATCCACTTACAGACAGCTGAAAATGCATGCCTGGCTTCCATAATAGTCAATTGAGACCACTGTTTTAATTAATTTACATAAATGTGAGCATCTGAGCTATGCCTATCTACACAGGGCTGGCAGATATGGTACAGAATCTGTAGAAAAACTGTACATTTGTAAAGTTATATCTGGAGGCAAGGTGATTTACATTAGGTCATCAAAAATGATATGAGATACCTATGTTTGGGTAACTGAATTAAGCCTCTAATCAGAACAGTCAAGCCTCTGAAGTAATTCTGCTTGCCTTAAGTAGGCACGCAGCAGATGGTGACCTGAATTGTTCTCCAGAATCCATTGATTCAGTGTGACTCCATCTCTACTGGCTAGGCCTATATTTAAAAAAACATATGAGACACCTAAATTTAATATTTACCTATATGAAAGCACAAAAAAATAGCTATGATTAAGATCACCTGCTGAAATGCAAGGTGTTAAAGAAATTCCTGCAAAATTCTACAGATTTTATCTGCTATAGCAGACGATGACTTCTTTGTTTAAAAAGCTACGAAAACACTGATGCTGCTTCTGCTGCTGTAATGGCTGCTCCCTCTGGCTGTGGAAGAGGGGAGCAAATGAGCCAGAAAAGCAATCACTAAGAATGCAAACCATCTTCCTACAGAAAAGTTCAGCCTGTGACAAGCAATAGCCTGCACTCTAGATAATCTTAGCATTTTTACACAGCAGATGAAGGCAGTGTATTTGAAAGGAGCTCACAATAAAAAGGGAAGAACTTCTCAACATTCGCCAAATACTAATCAATCTTGAATTCTCATTCACTTCTTTTTTTGGAGATAGATGTTAATATGCATTCCTATAAGCCATTCAGCAGTTCCCAGGAACAGGTTTCTGTACATTAAAGAAAAATGTCCTTAAATCTGAAAAGATAAAGAATGAAATCCCTGATCACCTCAAGAAACAAAGTACTAAGGACATTAAGAATATTCTTTAATGAATATTAAGAGCAAGCTGTTACTTTCAAATGCCTTTTACTTGTTCCCACAGTCATTCAGTACCACAGCTGGTGCAGACACAGTAACAGTAGTAGCTGACAAAGCCATCAATTCTCCATTAAAATAGATCTGTAAGACCAAATAATCCAGTTTAAGTTAAAAACGTGTCATTATTTCCACAGATGGGCCATCAGCAGACAATCGGGCATTAGGTGAAGCTCTGCATCACCTCATGCCAACATATTCATGCTTCTCTCATCTATAAATAGGCAGTGGGTTTTGCTTAGCAAACTTTCAGCAGATAGAATGATGCAAAGATTAAGATGCCTCTAAGCCAACATCTCCCAATGGACAAAAGTTTTTTTTTTTTTTTTAATATTATTTATTTATTTAAATTTAATTGCAAGTGTGCAGTATAAAAAACAGAAATATATGAAATGAGAGTAAGTAAATTATGGGACTCCCTCAAAATAACAGGGCCTAACTACAGGGAGAGTGTACCACCAGCCCAGGAAGGCAAGGGAGAAGAGAATTCAGCACTTTTTAGTGGCTAGAGGGCTCTTATCATTGCAAACTCTTGTCCTCCTGCTCTTTTTATCTAGGCTTGCACACTGACCCTCAGCAGTGCCTGCTACCAGGCACTGCAAAACACTAACAAAAATGTTGTGTCAGTCTGAAGAACTTGCTCGAATTCTGTGTCTTGCTAAAGTAAAACTGGTGGAGTTATGTGAACACAATTGTCTTCCTTGCTGGCTGTGAAGGCATACTCTGAAAGTCAAGTGGAAAAACACAGGGAGCACCAAACAGAGTCATGAAGTGAGTTGTGTTTATAAACACAAGAAGAACTAACTGCTCCTACAAGATTTATGATCCTTGCATGCTGCTGCATCCATAAAATGAACTGGTAAACCACAGTGAAATTAAATTAGTAAGGTATTACTGCTGAACAGCTGAAAAAGATACATCACCTTTGTTATGCTTTGTAACAACATACATGCTGCTTTGTAACAGAATGTGACAGTGTAAAAACTACAGCTTTGTAATGCCAGTGACAAATTTTAGCCATTATAAAATCCTCTGCTCAAATAGGATCTCAGTACTTAAACACGCTGGCTAATTGCAGGGGTCAAATGTGTTTGCTAAAAGCTTTCTGAACATACTTCCACAGTTCTCACTGAAATTTTCCTTGAGTCAACAGTGAATAGATACGCAAAAGAATTGCTCTTATTTGTATGTGAACTTTGTGCTCTTCAGGGGACAGACTGGGAAAAAGACTGTCCCTGACAGTCTGCCAGAGACCTTCACCTGAATGCAACACCCCCTTTCCAGCTCTGTGCCTCTGGATCAGAGCCTGCTCTCACTGAGCTCCCACATTCTTGTGATCTCAGGTAGGGCTGGCATCCCGGTCTCCAGGGGCAGAAAGCTGACAACCCACTTCATAACCATAGCCTCAGAAGGCCCTTGACTGTCCAAGCATTTGTACCTCCAACAATAGCATGGAAGTCCAAAGTTTATAGAAACTCAGCTCCTAAATCCCCTGGACCCAAGTTCTGCAGTGCTCGTTTACACTCAATACTTTCCTGCAGACACCACAAATGATAAATGTGCTAAGAACTGAAGGAAGAAGTTAATTTTGCTGCCTTTAGCAATATGAAGTATAACCATGAAGTAAAGTGGTAGGCAGCATAGCTACCGGGGTACACAAGCACAGGGATTTAGCTGTGGTATTACTGTAACACCCACCAACTTCTTCCAATGTGAAGTCAGTACACAAAATGTTAAGTAACTTTTTGCAGTTACTCAACCAAATCTACCAAAACTAGATATCTACCAAAATCAACCAAAACTAGAGGGTCTATGGACAGACTTCCCCAGTTCTAATTAAAGTGACTGGGCTTTGTACTAATTGTTTATTCACCAGAAGCTGATTATCAAAATCTCATCTGCAAAGATAAACGAGGTTTCCCACAAGGTGGTACTCCAGGAAATGGTGCCCACAAGCACTTGTCATGCTATTAACAGACCTATAAGCAAAAGTTCTCACTATGTACAGTAATCATCTGCTTAACTTCTTTTTTCATCATCTACTCCCAAAAGGACACATTCCTTTGATAAGAAATCAAGAGAGTCTGAAAAAAATCATCAGGGTAGCCTTATAAAAAAGCATGCCTGCACTGAGGTCCTGCATAACTTTTAAATAGCTGGAGATAAACTCTCCAATTGCTTGTATTAGAGTAGCTCCAAAGATAACAGCAACAGGCCCCTTTACAATATAAAATGTGAATTACATTAGATTGTACTACTGCCAGAAACTTCTCTACAATAATTTGAGTTTAAGAGACTGTCCAAAAGATGAATATTCAAAGCCTTTCTGGCAGAGAAGACACAATGGAAGTAAAACTCTGAGAGAGGTGCGTAGTAATTTGTTTTTATCATCTTTGCAATCTACTAAGCAATTAGGGAATGTTTACGTCTACTTCATCTACTACTATTAAAAACCTAGATGTAACTACAGATACAAGTATGACCACTCTAACTGAATAACTTAGGAAAAGAAAAAAAGGCTTTAGTTTTCTGGCTAACTCTGAAATAATTCAGATAAAGTGATAGATAAATATATAGGTAGATAGAATGGTTTTGTTCCAAAGGAATAAAAGCTTCATTTTGATGTTATTGCTGTTATATATGTTATGCAGCAAGTGGTTTCTTTACACACAAAATAAGTCACTATATGTATCCAAGAAGTTTCAAACTTGCTCAAGTCAGTAGGAGTATGCACAGTGGAATTTGTCCTGCAATTAGCATTATATTAGAGAAGGAACACCACCCACATACTCAACAGACAATGGTATAACAAAAAAGACATAACAATAAACACTGAATGTTTCTTGCCTTCAAAGAGTTGAGAAATACACCTACTTTTTTTTTTTTTTTTCCAGTGAGTCACTTTTTATTTCTGAGATCAGAACACAACAGATACTGTGCAATTTATCTGAAAAAAATTCAGAAAGTTCCAAACCTTTCTTCTCTTTGTAGCCACAGTTCTGCATCTGTGTTATGTATTTCTGTACCTGGATACTCCCCATGATGCACAATCTCAGTAATTATAACAATAACTGACATTAATTCAAGATATATAACGCATTGATATATCTGATGCTGTTCCAACAAATAAAAGAGATGGTAACGAAAAAAAAAGTAAGAAATGGTCATGGAGGTCTTCCCATATGCCACAGCTACCTGTCTTTACTTATGTATAATGCTATCTGACACTAAGAATAATATTTTTATATAAATAACACTAAATATTACCACTTTGCTAGAAAGGTAATCAACCTCTTGATGATGTAGTAATCTGTGAGTTTTGATAGTGTACTACCTATTCCATTACACATATTTTGATACTCAGTTTTCATGAAACCCAAGTCATTTAATCTAAATTAAATTAGTGCATGTAGGCATTTAAGACCAACAAACCTATAAGCAAAATTCTGCATAGTAATTATAGCAGTCAATCCTAGTTATATTGTAATGAAGCTTATACTGTAGTTTAATTAGTCTGTTCACTATAGAAGATTGACTTTTTAATACTTTACTGAAATTGACATTTCTTCCTTTTCTTACCATTTCATGTGCTATAAATAATAACACAATTCTGTTGACCTTGATATAAAAATAAAGAGTGAGGTATGCATTTGATTTTTCTCTTTTATCTTAGTACTAATGCCATTTCATACTTTAATGGGATGTTTTTCCTTTGAAATATAGCCAACATTGTCAACATGAAACTTCAATGGTTATGCCAACGCAAACTAAATACTTCTAGCACCTGTTGAACAGAACAGACACATCTTTTCAAAATACATAGCCCCACTAATTCTTAAAAGATCTGCATTATGAGTGTACCATATTACTTCTTGTATTAACTGTGAGTGATGAGATAAAAGATTCTGGGCATTAAAATATTTTGGACATTGAAACTGAAATACTGCAATTTCTCATCCTCATTAAGACAAAATTTTATGAATGTCAAAGTGATTAAATGATTAACTAAAGTGACTTAGTGGTGATATCTGATTCAGTACTTCATTTATCAGACATTACATGGGTACAGTTTTCCATTATAGTGACTTCAGCCATATACATAGTTACAGATGTTCTGCTGGGCATGTCAAATAGCCCCAAATGGATTTCAGTCCTCATAGACAAAGCCTAGACTGCATGGGCCCCTGGAAAGCAACACAACAGCACTGCGGCAAGTACAGAAATTTACCCTTAACCTTAATACATGCCGCAACAAGCTTATCTGCAGTTTTCTCCATTCCCTAGGATTTAACCCATGGACTTTAAAAGTAGCCACAGGCCTTTCCCACCAGTTGTGAGGGGCACTGGAGTCACAGCATCCTGTATGTGCCATGCGCATGGCGCTACATAAAGACCTCCTTACAGCCATGAGCATTCAGAGCCCTCTGTCTTTCACACAGGTTGAGAACTATTCGCAAACATACCATAACAGCTCAAGGTAAAAACGTAACTAACCTGATCTATCGAAAGAGTCATCAAACACAATTCTGCAGGTTTTCCCATTATTGAGGATGGTCTTCGCTGCACCGGGGTCGTAACTAGCGAACCACGGCAGGAGGGAGCGATCATAATGCACTTCTTTGTTATTGATTTCAATAGGTGACTGATGGCGTCCTTTGGCAATCGGGTAATTTTTGTGCCACTGGTCTGGTCCTAGAAAAAAATACAGAGAAATATCATGAAAACCTTTTCCAGCTAGGTATGAATTGCACTTGTTTCACAACAATTGCAAGTTTGTCTTTGCCGTGCTATGGAACATAAACAAAATGTATTAGCAAGTGGGTTACTAATCACCTGGCTGTTAGTCATGGCCTGTCAAGAGCTGTGTAACAAACAATTAGATCATTCCAGCTGGGATATTACACACCACACGCTGTTCAGCTGAACCCAAACCCACACAGCACCCCCCAGATACCTTATGTAGCGGGTGCCTGACAACACACCGGGGGAGGAGATGAAAGGTGTGTGCTCAAAGCCAGGCAGTGGCTAGAAACAGGACGGGGTACCCCCAGAGGGTGACCCAGATGGCACACCTAGCCTCGGCCCCGGGCACCCCACTGCAGAGCAAAGCCTGTGCCGGTGCTCACCGTTGTCGCTGTCGTAGCCCCACGGGTAGTAGTTGGGGTTGATCATGGTGCCTCTGCCTCGCCCCAGCCCCTCCCAGCGGCTCTGGCAGGACAGCAGCCGGCCCTGACGGCTGCTTTTTATACCCTGCCGCCAGCTCCATGCCCGTCCCCGCCGAGAGGGACCGCGGGGCCCCGGGGCGGGGAGAGCCGCGCTCCCCGGTACCGCCCGCCGCCGCCCCGCCGTCAGGGGCCGCCCCGCATTTAGGGTGCACGGGGGGATGGCGGCGGGGGTCCGCTCTGTGGGGTGGCCCCGATGTGTGGCGAGCACCTAGGGGATGGAGGCAGGGGGTCGTCGGCCGTCCTGGATGGGGCACAGGGGCTGGAACACACCGGGGCTGCTGAGGGGACAGGGCTGCTGCTACCTTCCCCAGCTCTGAGTGGGGTGTGGAAACGTGTGAAGCAGTCTCAGGGCTGCCGGAGTGAGCAGTCCAGTTTCTTCACAAATTTCGACTTAACTCGTCTGAGGAGTGTTACAGGTTCCATCGCCTCAGTTCTCTCCCTTACACAGGAGCAGCAATTCACCTGTGCACAGCTGGTACAGGCCTGCCCCAGCTGCTCAGCCACGCTGCCGCTTGCCCTCGTGTTTCTCCAAGCTTAATGGACTTTGTGTGGACGTTTCTGGAAAGCCCACTTGCTGTGAGGCTGCCTCAGGTTAGATTAGGCTGGGTGTCTCCTGAGGGGACTGTGTTAGCAGTGTTTCCCACTTGATCCACAGTGCAGCACCAATTTGGAGGTCGTCTGGGAGGGACTGTGTCTGACAGCTTCTGCATGCAAATGGTTATCACAGATTCACACCCTTGCCTATAAAATTTCCACATATACAATTGGCATCCAGTGTTGCTCCCTGTCTCCCACTGTTGTCGTAAACAGCTTCCCCACAAAAACGGTGGTGTCATTTGTCCCTGGCTTTTAAAAAGGTGCTGCTTCCTACTGCAAGGATTCTTGGAAAGTGGAACTCACCCGAGCTGAAGATCCAGCTCTGCCTGCTGCAAATAAAGTCTCCATTATCGCATTAAACATAGGATCTGTTTGTTTTGCTTCTGTTCTCTTTTCATTTAGCAGGGTGTTATGCATCAAAGTGCACTTAAAATTGTAAGCATACTTGTTAGCATGTGCACGTTCCTTAGGCGACACACATGTGACGTGCAGAACTCAAATAACTTCTGAAAAATATTTGTTATCCTGGCACGTGGGGAATTATTAGATGAGTTAGATACGGAGACTAGCACGCTGTTGTAAAATGGATGACAGACTAACTGGGCAGAAGAAAAGATATTGGCCTGAAAGGTGAACTACTGTGGTTTATGCTTTAGTAGACTTTCTGAATAACAAGTGGAATTATCTTAATAAATAGTAGTGAAGTGGGGAAAAAGTACAAGTCTGTCAAAGAAAAATGCAGATGGCACAGGTTGTAAGTGTGGGGTTGTCATGTGGAAAAGTCCAGGACCCCTGAACACTGTGTAAGCTACAGTAGCAGAAAATGCTACACAATGGTCCAGAATCATGGTCTTGGCTGAAAGGTTTGTTTGTTCATTTGTTTGTTTGTTTCTGATCCAAAGTGGAAGTGAAAGAGGAGGGGAAAGAGTGGGATTTTTAGTCATACAGTGTCAGTAAGGAAGGCCAGGGACTGCTTGTAAAAAGCAGGTACAAAACAGGGCTTATCCGGATGTGTAGTTTCACTGGAGCTGGAGAGATGCTGGTATGACCTCCTCTGAAATAGGTTTGTTCTTCTTGTTGTGTGTACTGAGTAAAGCAGAATGAAGACGATTTGGAACAGGTGCTGGGGAGACCATAGCACCAAAGAGCCTCTTTTACAAAAGGAGTCTATAAAAGCTCAGTGTTCTTTGCATAGCAAACAGGGGGAAGAGGGAAGTGACAGCTGTCTGTATATACACATCAGAGAGGTAAACACCAAGAAATGGGAAAAGTTACTGAAGCTAAAGAGCAAAGTCAATCAAAAAACAAACACATATGCATGTGCCACAAACAAAGGCAAGATAACTGATGAAGGTTTTGAGACACCCAAGGCAGTCCAGTAGCTTTTTAGTAGGAAAAGGGGGTCATGAACAGCATAAACAGGAGCTACGTGTTCATTCTCTACGGAGCACATACTATTTCCCACCTCTTCCTCATTTTGTTACTCCTAGTTCCCACCATCTTCTCACTGTCATGACCCACACACAAATCTCTAGATCCAGAACAACTTCTGGTGACTCAGACCCTTGCCTGTCTTCTAGATAGAGCTACATTGCAAACATAACCACAGCCTATCTGTAGTAGCCCAGGACTATGAACAGCACCCTGGAAAACAAGTATAAGCATTTTCCAGTTTCTCAGCCTATTTTTGTGAAAACAATTTTATGTTGCTTCTTAAGTCCAAATTAGTGGTAAGTCAGGGAAACCACAGAGAGAAAATATCTGAGAAGAAGAGAGAAAAAAATAAATGGAGTTCTGGTATGTGAGTATAGACATGCATTGAAGCTAATCTTTGGGTCTCACCTGCCACATACAAATATTTCCACGACCTCACAATTTTTTTCAAATATGTGCCCTGCACCCACCAAGGAACCTGTCTCGGGTCACCCGTTTTTCACAATCAGACCATTTCTCATGTTCAGCCATGTCGTTGGGGCAGGATTACTTTGGGACTGTTAGGTAGGCATCTATGAATTTACAGTGAAAATGTGCACTAGTAGAATAGTAGATAATAACTAGTAGGTTGCAAGGGTGCACAATGCCCCCCAACACCTCTCTCCAGGTTAAATATTCATTCCTGTCTTTCTCAGAAAGTTCCTGAGAAGAATAACTTAAAAACATTGACCTTACTAGCAGAAAATCTGGTATGAGAAAACTATTAAAAGTGTTTGTTGGGCTTTTTTATTGTTGGACATGACCTAAGCATTATTAAAGAAATGTTTTAAGTGAATACACAGATTGAATAGAAGAGAACAGTCACAATTAAATTTAGTCTAAAAAGGTTGAAACAAAGAGCTTTCACAGAGAAAAATGACATTCACTTTTGGACAATGACATATCCCAGTTTGCCACAAACCAGGTTACAACACACACACCAATGCCTCCAATGCAGACACTACCGGATTTAGTGAAATACTTTTACAGACAGCATGGCAATAACTAGTTTGAAAGCTATAGGAGAGTTATGGAAGAAAGTTATATGAGAAAAATTAAAAAATATATTAACATATTCTCTATGTGATCTCTATGGCACTCTTTATGGCAAAAAAATAAAAAAATAATAAAAAATGCCCCCAAAGTACTGATATTTCACTGATTAAAATGCATGGCTATGTGTCTTCCCTGTGGAGTTCCGATTAGTCATTCATTATTTTTTCCTATACCACATATTTTCTCCATATACATTGCTAAGATTAACATCACTATAGGTTTAAAGAGAATCTTTTTTTACTTTGAGAACATAAGCTACTTCCTCTGGATCCCGCTTTTTTTCCCTCTGGCTCCTACATTTTTTTTTTTTAAATGTGTTTCCTTCACATATGTGTTTATAGGCTGTATATCCTAAGATATAATAATAAGATATAATAATAATCTTAAGATTATTATTGATGCTAATTAGTCTTTATGTCTAGCAGTAACAGGACCTATCATGGTAGACAGCACACAAACATATATTGAGACCTTTTTCAAAGGCCTGAGAGACAGATGGGAAGGAGGTAGGCAGTCAGGAGCACTAACAGTAGCTCATGATTACAAAGCAGATTAATGACACAGTAAAAAATAGTATTCCAGGATGGTTGATGATTCATCCCCTGCACAGATCACTAGAACCCAGACTTTCAAAAAATTTTGTTGTTCTAATTTCTTGATGGGAAACAGAAATTTATTTCAGGGCAGATCACAGGTCACAATTTGGTGGGTTGCGTTGGAACTAATAAATACCTCAGCTTTAGCTAATGACAAAGTCAGAAAAGAAAGAAACAAACGAACAGATTTGATTTCTGATTTAAAATCCACTTTAGAAATAATAGTAAAGTTCAGAGATAAAAGTAGTCAAGAAGTGAAGAAGACATCAGACAACACCCATTCTTTAAAAAAAATAAAAAGGCACATTCAATACACAGAACCCTATACACTTTATAATAGAATAGCTATTGTGGTGTTACTGTAAGATTACCCACATGGCATGTACACTGAAATCAAAGTCTCCATTCAAGAATGAAATCTGAGTTGAGACATCTGCTCATCTGTGCTCTGGCACTGAGTCTTAGAACAATAAGAATTTGACTCATCTCTTCATAAAAATGGAGTATGAACATGGCTGCTGTGACATTCCTGCAATTTGGTGACTCTTCTCCACTAACGTATAGTTTGTGTTTTTTATTTGGTTTACATTGACCTTAAACTGTATGTCTGAAGGGAAAATGTCTAGTAAAATGTTAAACAGATGACTATGTCTCCCAGGGTAATTTGTTGAAGCTTATATAAACCATTTACTCTCAGTCCTTGGTATTAACTGATTTGATAAAAATTCTCAGGCTTAGGATTGGAACACACATAAGGAAAAATTGGAAAAGAAATCCAACCTCTTTATAAACTTAAATAGCCATGCTACTTCCCAGTCTAAGGTCCCCAGCCCTTGCTCTTTCTCCCAAAGGGAGACTACCCGAGCATGTGCGCTGATGCTTGTCTTTATCAGAAGATAATTTAGAGGCAAGACAAACCTGAGCACTTTTAGAATTACTGTACAAATCTTGCCCCTTACTTATTTTTTTTGAAGGACTGAAATATATCTGAACTGAAATAGTTCTGCAATGTAGCTAATGAGAGGAAAGTCCTAGAAGAGAAAGCAGAACATGAATCCACTTTGCTTACATGTCATGGAAAAGTGCTCAACAAAAGTGTCTTCTGTGTCAGTAAGCTAAAAACTCAGAGGAGCACAGTGGGAGGGTAGATCTGCAACTGAGAGGATCTTCAAGCCAAAGCCTTGATGCTGCTGATGGTGATGGCTATACAGATACAAAAACTGCTTCCAGAAATAGATAATAGGTTGTCTTTGCTCATGTTTCATAACCCACTTCCAGAGAGTGGAGGAGGTTGCTATTTCCAGCTATCCTGACATAGTGATTCCTCCCAAATGACTTTATTTAGGCTTTG